GATTTGATATGAGAATATTAATAGGTTAATAATTATATAGGATGAAAGGAAGGAAGGAAGGAAAGAAAAAAAGAGAGGAAATGTGAAGTGTAGAGAAAAGAGGAGAGAGAAGTAGATAGGAAGAAAGAGAGAAAAGAATATTTGAATATAAAATATATAGAGGTTTCATTCATATAGAGGGAGGTCTGTTGTGGAGTTGTGGAGGAAGAGAGAGAGAGAGAGAGAAGGCGAAAGAAAGGAAAAGAGAGAGAAAGCATGAAGAAAGAAGAGAGGGAGAAATAGATAGGGAAAAAGATATATGGAGAAAGAGAAAATAAAGAGAAAAATAAGAAAGATATACAGTATAACCCGCATATAAGAGAGTGTTTACGACCGGAGAAGAAGTTTCTTATATCCGGGTTTAAATTTAATATATATTTAAAAAAAATGGATATAAGAGAAGGATATAAGAAAAACCCTCCTGATATAAGAGAAATTTTCAAGTCCCAAATTAAAGCCTGTGATAATGTATATAAAATTTTTTAAGCATTGATATAAGAGAAACCCGGATATAAATTCCCTTTAAAGATGTCCCGACAACTCTTTATAATTCGGGTTACACTACTACATTATCACAGGCTTTAATTTGGGACCAGAGAAATCTCTAGTATCCGGGTTTCCCTTGTATCCAAACTCCTATATCCAGGTTTACATTATATATTTTATTTAACAAATTTCTTTCATATATATATATATATATATATATATATATATATATATTTAGAAAGAAAATACTCTTAAAAAAATTATAAAGTTGGAATATATATAGAGACTTTTATCATATATATTGGTTTTTTTTAAAAAATGAGCAATGCCTTGTTTTGAGAGAGAAGCGAAGAAAGGAGAACGAAGAAAGAATGAAGAGGGGGAGAAAGAATGAAAGGAAAAGAAAGAAAGAAAGAAGAGAGAGAGAGAGAGAGAGAAGAAATACTTGAATATGAACCATTTAAAGATTTCTTTCATATAGAGGAGATATAAGAAAAAAAATGAAGTGAGAGAGAGAGAGAGAGATCTCGGGCAGAGATAGAGAAATGAACAAAGATCAAATAAATAAAAATGTTTGAATATAAACCATATAGAGTTTACTATTATATAGACGGAGAAAGAGAAAAATGAGCAATGTGTGTGTGTATGTGTGTGTGTGTGTGTGTGTGTGAGAGAGAGAGAGAGCATGTGAGGTGGAAAGAGAGTGAGCAAAATGGAAAGGTTAGAGTAGAAAGATGGGAAAGATGGTGAAAGAAAGAAAAGAGGAGAATGAAAGAAAAAAAGAAATAAAAAGAGAGAGAGAGAGATAGGAAGAAAGAGAAAGAAATGTTTGAATATAAACCATATAGATTTTTCTATGATTTTTGGGAGAATAATAGGCAGAGAGAGAGAGAGAGAGAGAGAGAGAGAGACAGACAGACAGACAGACAGACAGACAGACAGAGAGAGAGAGAGAGAGAGAGAGAGAGAGGTCAAAAAAGAAAAAAATGGAGAAAGAAAGAAAGAAAAAAAGAGACAGAAAATGAATAGTCAAGATATCAGATCATATATATATATATATATATATATATATATATATATATATATATATATATATATATATATATATATAATATAAAATATTAAAAACAATATTCCATGGTCATATATTTATTATATTGGAATCGTAAATATCCAATTCATCATATATATCTGTTTTCTTTTTGAATTTGTAGGTCTGATAAATTGGATCGTATTTACGATTCCAATGGAATAAATTATGACCATGGAATATTAGTGTTTAAAAAAAATTATATCCTTACTCTGTCCTGGACATTGAGTTCTCCCTGGATTCTATCCTCTTGGAATTTTTTATTCAAAAAATATACATGTATGTGTATGCACCTATGTATATATATTTATATATTTTGCATATGTATGTGTATATTTACCACTAATATTATCTATCTATCTATCTATCTATCTATCTATCTATCTATATAATAAAAAGGCTTAAACACTAATATTCCATGGTCATAATTTATTCCATTGGAATCGTAAATACGATCCAATATATGATTGCATATGTATGTGTATATTAATCAATATATGATTGCATATGTATGTGTATATTAAATCACCACTTTTAATATATATCTATCTCTCTCTAAATCTCTCTATCTATATATATATATATATATATATATATATATATATATATATATTAAATTTAAACATTATTTTTGGTGGATACCCATATTTGATTTACGTTCCATTTATTTTAAACTGTTTATTTATATTCTTCTTTTTAGGAAATGCATTATTTAATATTCTTCATTTTATATTAAAAAGAACATATATTGACATACATTAATAAAATTATTACCATCTGTAAGAAAATAAAAAAAATCAGAGAAAATTTTTATTTTATATTAAAAAAAAATAATAATTAAATCAGAAAAAATGTATAAAATTAAAATTACAAAGATTATGCATATAAAGCAGTGCCTATAAAATGATGGAGAAAAATATTATAAACGAGTTATTAAATAAAAAAAACTATAAAATATAATTTAATAAGCAATAAGTACAAACCGAAAATTAAATAAAAGAAACAATATAAAGAAAAAATATAAATAAAAATGACATATAATAATTAAATATAAATAATATATAATTATTATATTATATGGATTATATCATTATTAAATAACATTATTATTATATTAAATAATATCATTATTATTAAATATTATATTAAATAATATCATTATTATTAATATATTATATTTAATAATACTATATATATATAAATACTTCATTAAATAACATTATTATTATTATATTTGTTTCAAAAAATTTGATATCCTTTGAGATGTAAATATCACAGAAAAAAAACATGATTAAGGCAAATGAAATTAAAAAGTATTAATGTTGAAGATCATAAGATTTATTCTTCCAAATCTGAATGAGAAATTCAAAAGCATGTGGATTATGTGAACGATTTCACAAATGTTCAATATGCGAACCGCCTGAGACACATGATTTTTATACCTGTAAAGAAAAAAGATTAAAAGATTAAAGAACATAAAAAATACAAATAAGAAAAAACACAAAAACATAAAGAAGACATAAAAACATAAAACAAACATTAAAAATAAAAATGCTATTAAAATTTGAAGTCATTTGAAGGAGATCTAACAAAGTTATTAGATTGCGAAATGATATCAAATTTTTTTTTACACTCATTTATTATTAAATGATATATCTTTATATTAAAAACTATATTATATATCAATATAACAAACATCTCTACAATATATTATATATTAATATAAATACACCACACATATTAAATATTATGTTATCAATGATATTAATACATTATTAAATAAATCTTATATTAAATAAAATTACTATATTAAATAATACCATTATTAAATATTATTATTAAATATTATTAAATAACTACAAAAATAACATTATATTATTTATATATTATTATTAAATAATATTATTATTAAATTATGCAAATAATTATCCATTAAATAATATTATTATTAAATTATGCAAATAATTATATTATTAAATAATATATAATCATTATATACTATTATTATATATATAGAAACAATATAAAAGAGAAAGAGATATAATTATTAATTATAAATATATATTCTTAAAGAATAAACCCTTCAAAAGAAAAAATACCATTTGAAAAAAAGACTTAAAAACCTTTTATAAACAAATAGAAATAAATTAGGAATAAAAAATTAAAAAACCAATAATTGAGGAAGAGAAATAATTTAAATAAATAAAATAACAACCATGAAAATAAATAGAAGTATAAATAATTCTAATATAAGTCAAAGTCACGTCTAAATGTATCTGTCTCCTGCTACCATCCCCATGTCTAGACTTTACTAATCTGTCTTTTCACTAATTCTTTTACTTTTCTCTTTTTTCCTTTTTTCTTCCCTTCTTTTCCTCGGCCTTGTTTTAAAATTTACTTTAGGTCTGGTTTCATTTTATTTTATCTTATTACCTTGATCGGTTTGAAAAACCTTGCGAGTAAGTCTTAATTTGTAAGGTGAAATGATCATAACTATGAGGTAATTTTAAATTCCTATTGTATGTAATATATACGTCTAGCCACACTGAAGAGCTGCGATGCAGCGAAACAGTCCTTCTGTGGATGACAATATATAAATGCTTTACGTATAAGGGAAGATTGTTCAGTATATGAGATAGAGTATTTATAGATATAGACATAAGAAACTCCATGGTGACTGTCAGTTTTACGCTTCTATGCGATCTTTGTACAAAGAGCCACTATTCATATAGATTAAGGACTATGCATATAGGTTACGGACTATGTATATAGGTTACGGACTATGTATATAGGTTACGAGGGGATTGAAGAAAGTGTTAGAAAACCCTTGAAACCTTTCCCTAATTATATTCTTTTTTTGCTAATGCTGAAGGTTTTTTACGTTCATTATATCTAGGTTACTTATTTATGTTGGTTGGAGGAAAAATTTATGTAAAAAGGGTAATTTACTTATAGTCGTGATATATATATATATATATATATATATATATATATATATATATATATAACATAAGTAATAATATATTTCATATATATATATACGACACGAAACTAAAATTATTTAAATTCCTTGAACAGGCGCATAATAAATTCCCACACGCACACATACATTATGAAAAAATTGCACTCATGAAAAAAAGAGCATATAAAAGTGAAAAATCAAGAAATATAAACAGTCGATTGATGATACCCCTGACGTCAATCAGCTTTTTATTTATATTATTTCTCTCTCTGTCGCTGTATGTGTGTGTGTGTGTGTGTGTGTGTGTATTAAGGTGGAAGTTTGTCTCGGTAGACCAGTTAAGACAAAATAGTGAGTTTGATCATAACTAGGTGCTCCGTACTTTCGACCTTGTGCCAGATCTAAGCTACGCTAAGTAAGTTACTAGATAAATATAGTGTCACGTAGATACACATGTACAGACTGCGATAGATAGATAATACATATGAACAATGAACAGATTAAAATAAATAAATAGATATGAAGAAACTGAGAAAGATTGATAGATATAAACAAAGATAGATAGATAGATAGATAGAGTTTGCGATGGATAGATAATGAACAGAAAGACATAGCTATATAGATATGAACAGGCTGAGAGAGACAGACAGACATAGATAGACAGATAAAATGATGGATACAGATTGTGATAGAAAGATTGGTAGATCGACAAAGAACAAACTGAGATAGATAGATAGATAGATAGATAGATAGATAGATAGATAGATCTTAAATAGCAGTTTTAGATAAAAACAGTGTGCGATAGATATATAGATACATACATAGATAGATACAGACAGCGATAAACAGAAAGATAAATAAAAGATAGATAGGTATGAACAGACTGAGAAAAATTGATAGAGTGTGCGATAGATTGATAGATACAAACAGACTACGATAGATAGATAGATAGATAGATAGATAGATATGAAGAGAAATAGATAGATAGATAGATAGATAGATAGATAGATATGAAAAAACTGAGATAAATAGATAGATACAGTGTATGATACAAATAGACCTCGATAGATAGATATAACAAACTGAGATAGTTGGATAGATAGATCTGAAATTGCAGAGATACATAGGCTACAAATAGACTGCATAGATAGAAAGATAGATAGATTGACAGATAAGGACAGACTGAGATAGATAATGACGAGTCTTAGATAGTTAATAAAGAGTCTTAGATAGATATAAACTGCGATAGATAGATAGATAGATAGATAGATAGATAGATATGAACAGGCTGAGATAGACAGATAAATAGATAGCTAAATTGATAGATACAGACTGCGATATCAGCAGTTTTAATATTTTATACAGAGTGCGATAGATAGATAACTCTGAAAATGAATCACAACACAATCTATATATATATATATATATATATATATATATATATATATATATATATATATATATATATATATATTCTATTTTATATCTCGACTCTCCCGTCGAATTCGACGTATGACGGTCAAGCAGATCAGTTCCTAGGAAACTGACAGCCCGACAACAGCACATTGAGATTTGATTATAGTGGTGAAGGTTTCGTGCAGGACCATCCACACTTTTTGAAGGGCCTGATTACAGAGACCTGGTGCACTACGTGCCACAAGGTCCCCAAACGACCCTACGCAGGTTTTGAATTCAGAGTTGTCCTTCTCCTAGATCAGCTGCCATCCAAGGCTATAGAACCCAGTCTGTCCTGCTATTTACCCATAGCTGGAGGGAGAACAAGAGGATTCACACCTTTCTCAATAGTAAGTGAATGTAGCGAGTTCAACCTAAGCCGCTATCAATTACTCAACCGTGCCTCATATATATATATATATATATATATATGTATATATATATATATATATATATAAAGAAAGAACATTAAGATATATAATCCGGTGTTCTTATTGATATTTATATCTATCTATCTATCTATCTATCTATCTATCTATAGATAGATAGATAGATAGATAGATAGATATAGACTGAATATGACAAGGAAAGGGAAGAAGAAATAAATAAGTTTTTATCATTTTTTTTTCTCAAATTTTAGTCTTTCATTATTTTTTTATTTCCCGTTCTTTCAGCTAATTTCAACATCTCATCTCAGTTATTGTGCTTGTTCAATAAACTGTGGGCAAAGCAACTTTTAACTTAAAATTCGAGACTCTAGAATGTTAAGAAACAGAAAAGTAAAAATAATTAAATAAAATTGATTAAACAAAAAGCATAAAAAAACCCCCAACTTTTTCTGGTAAAAATGCATCAATCACTTCACGCGTAAAATGTTATAAAATTTGACCCAGGGGTTATAACTCTCCCCGACGCATATCACTCCGCCATCTTTCTTCTTCCTCTCGCTGCTGTAGACGCGTGTAGCTGCTGTCAAGAACGATATAACAAAAGATAAAACTAATAAAATAGATAAAACTGAAAAAATAAATTGGAAAACAAAGCAAAAGAACAAAAAGCTAAGACTGCTGACCCGTGGGTAAGGTTCTGTTTGCCAAATTCAGGGCTTCTGCCCTTCGCTCTCTTCTTTGTTGTTTTCTAATATTCTTTGCTTTTTTTTTTTTCGGATGCCCACCTCAAGCAACTCTATTAGCGTTTTCTGTTACGTTGCATTTTACAAACAGACAATTTTAATCAAATGTTTTTTTTTTATTCAACGCCCCACAGGGTTATCTCCCTTGTCATCATTTACTTAGCAAAAGGACAAGTTTGGCACAAAGTTGAAGTCGTAAAAACAAAAAAAAAAATAATGTAAAGCAAGCAAACAATACAAATGAAAACGAAAACATCTTATCGAAAATTTAAAATAACTATCAATGGCTTTTGAGTCCAGAACACTTTCGGTCGCACTTCAAGCGAATTCTGTGTACATGGACTGTTAGCCTTTTAACTGCAACTTGTTCAAGTTAAGATCAAGCGCACAGCCAAACGTTTTAAGCGCTCACTGTGGATTGATCTAATTATCTTAATTTCGCGACACAAACACGCTTTTAACTGCAATTTCTCCTTTCTTTCTTTCTTTCTTTCTTCAGTGTTATAATTTCTTTTTTCGTCAGCGTATATAATTATCAAATATTATTTTAATCGTTCTTTCTTTGTTTCATTCTTTCTTCTTCTGTCACGTGTGATTTCTTTCTTTATTTTTTCATTCTTAACCATTGCTTATAATTGTCCGACTTTTTATTCATTTTTCTTTCGCATCTCATATAATTTCTTTCTTTCGTTTAATCATCTCTTATCTGACTTTATTTTCATCTTTCTTCCCTTCTCTGTCACCTCATGTAATTTCTTTCTTTCTTTCTTTCTTTTTTCTTTCTTTCTTTCTTTCTTTCTTTCTTTCTTTGTTTTTTTCTTTCTTTCTTTCTTTAAATCGTTTTTCCTAACTTTTATTTTTCATTTTTTCTTTTTGTTTTCATCTCTTATCCCTAACTTTTTTTATTTTCTTTCTTTCTTTCTTTTTCAGATTTCATTTCATCATCTTTTTTCTGACATTTTAATTTCTTTCTTTCTTTCTTTTTTCGTTTTAATTTTCCCCTAACTTCAATTTATTTTCATTCTTTCTTTTCAGTTAATCATCTCATTTAATTTTTTTTTCTTTCTTTCTTTCTTTCTTTCTTTCTTTATAACTTTCTTTTCTTTTCAGCTTTCTTTTTTTTTTCCACCCTCAGGCATTTCTTTTCTTTTTTTTTCATTTCTTTTCTTTCTTTTCTTTCTTTCGTTTTAATCGTCCCTAACTGACTTTATTTTCATTTTCTTTCTTTAATTCTTTTATCTTTTCTTTCTTTCTTTCTTTCTTTCTTTCTAATCGTTTCTTCTCTGACTTTATTTTCATGTTTCTTTCTTTCTTACTTTCGTTCTTTCATTTTAATCACCTCTAATGTGACTTTATTTTCATCTTTCTTCCCTTCTCTATCACCTCATGTAATTTCTTTCTTTCTTTCTTTTTTCCTTTCTTTTTTCTCTTTCTTTCTTTCGTTTTAATCGTCCCTAACTGATTTTATTTTCATCTTTCTTTCGTGTTAATCATCTCTTATCTGACTTTCTTTCTTTCTTTCTTTCTTTCTTTTTAATCACCTCTAATCTGACTTTATTTTCATCTCACCTTCTTCCCTTCTCTGTCACCTCATGTAATTTCTTTTTTTCTCTTTTCTTTCTTTCATCATAATGATACCTTACAATAAGCTGACTTTATTTTCATCTTTCCTTGTTTCTTTTTAGGATAAATATATTGATGGTTACAGCAGTGGCGGATTTGCAACTTTTGTTCGATCGAAGTATGTTTGGGTGGGTTCTTGGCGGGGTTTGGTTTGCAAAGCCCCCCCCAGTCCTCTTATAAAAGCGATTATGTACCTATCTGTACTGGAATCATTGTTGATAACAATCTTTTCACCTTTTTAATTTGACGAACAATTAATAATAGATTATTTGATGCTGTGTCCTGTTGTCAGATGCAGCATTTTAGATTTTGTTGTGATTGATTCACAAACAAAGCTACGAAAAGTGTGCTAATCGATATTAAATTGATTTCTATTGTGGGTTTGTTGTCAAATGGATTTGATACCATTATGTATATGCTATATTATTAATTTTTGACTAGTATTTCTTTCATCATTTCTCTTGTTTCTCCACCAAGTAGGAATAATTTTAAGTTGTCTAAATTTCTTAGATGAAGCATTGCCACTTATTAATTTTTGATTAGTATTTCTTTCATCTTATTTCTCTTGATTTTCCATCAAGTAGAAGTAGTTTTTATTTATCTGAATTTCCTCAATTAAGCATTGTCAATTATTATACGTTTTTGACTAGTATTTCCTTCATCTTATTTCTCTTGCTTTTCCACCAAGTAGAAATATTTTAAAACCCCTTAATTTAGTTTTCTTTCATCTTTTCTCTTGATTTTCATAAAATAGAATTGTCTTAATTTTTAGATGAAACCTTGTCATTTTTTCATTTTATTTTTCTTTCATCTTATTTCTTTTGCTTTTCCACCAAGTAGTAATAGTCCTAAGTTGTCTGAATTTATTAGATGACGCTTCGTTTATTACTATGATTTTATTCATATTTTTTCATCTTAATTTCCTTATGAGTAAAGAATGTAGATTAAAAAATTTAAATGAAAATTAAAAAATAATAGCACTTTTAAACGGGATATTAACAAATGTAATTGAAATGAATGTAATATATATATATATATATATATATATATATATATATATATATATATATATATGTTTATGAGTTATTTTTATAGATACAATTATTTAAGTAAATGATCTGTTTATAATAAACTGTATTAACAACATTTACCGGCTTGAATGTCCGAGAAATTTCAAAGAAAATATGTCTCTTCCGACTGGAATTGAACCTGTATCCTACACGGAACCGTCACATAGTCTAGAAATTTGTAGTTTAAAAACACTAATGTTGTTAATGCTGTTTATTATAAATAGAGCACTTACTTAAATATTTCTATCTATAAAAATAACATATAAGCAGAAAATATATATCAAAATCATTGTCGGTCTTAGTCTATTTCATAATATGTGTTGTTATTTGTTAAGATACGCTTCGAGCAGATATGAACGTTCGAGAAAAATCATAGGAAATTTGTAGTTTAAAAACAGTAATTTAACCGTACGCGTCAGACGCTTCACCTGTAGCTGAATTATATAGCACATGTGTCTATATGACGGTTCTGTGAAGGATACAGTTTCGATTCCCGTCGGAGAGCGCAATTTTTTAAAAGATTTCTCGGACATTCAGGTCGGTAAATGTTGTTAATACTATTTATTATAAAGAGAGCATTTAATTAAATATTTGTATCTATAGAAATAACGTATAAATAAAAATATATTAAAATAATTGTCGGAATTAGTCCATTTCATAATATATATATATATATATATATATATATATATATATATATATACATTATCAACACACACACACAATCTATGTATATACACATATATGTAGACATATAGACATACATATGTATACTCTCTCTCACACATATATAATATACAGGCATACACACATACATATACATATACACAAAACATATATATATATATATATATATATATATATATATATATATATATATATATATATATATCACATAACACACACACACACACACATACACACATATATATATATATTGTTATGAAATGGACTAAGTCCTATCATTATTTTAATATATTTTCTGTTTAGATACAAATATTTAAGTAAATGGTCTGTTTATAATAAGCATTTACATAAATATTTACATCTATCATATATATAAACAGATAACTCACACACACACACACATATATATACACACATATATATATATACACACACACCCACACACACACATACACACACACATATATATATATATATATTAACACAAACAGATATACACACACAGGCACTCACACGTATATACACCCATACACACACATATATACACGCACTCACATACACACACACACACCTATATACATATACACAAATAACCAACAAAAGACCCACACAAAACAAACCCACCTGTAACTGAAGAGCAAGCACAATAAATAATGACTTGAAAGTCAAGAAACAGCTACAATTATTTCTATCCAATAACAGTTATCATAATACAATACATCAGAAATGCCTGGCCTTGCAACCCATAATATTATTGGTTATTGGTCCAGCATATATAAATAGTCGAGATCACACGCAACATACATTTACCGTGTAGATTGCGTTCAAATATGAAACTGTCGACGATCGGTGTTGACCGTAGTGTTCACTCTTATATTTATATAGACTCTATACCTGATATTGGGCACTTTTACACATACCTTAAACCTTTTTTATTTCTCCCTATATATATATATATATATATATATATATATATATATATATATATATATATGGTATAAGATGATAAGATGACATCTGGAAAAAAATGTTTTGCTGACCCGTTTTGTCTTCCGACTTTTCAAGGCAAAAAATGAAATCGAATACCAATTTGTCTTGTCCACAACTGAACTGAATTTAACTATATATATAATTTATACTATATATATATATATATATATATATATATATATAAATGATGATAGAGAGAGAACAGATGGAGTAAAAATCCACTGTACGTAGCATTTGCTTTTAAATAAGTGCTCAATACAAAGTAGAGAAATATATCATTTTAATATTTATATTATAACTGATTATAATAAAAACATGTTGGAATCGCTACACAAAAGCTTTCATGTTTCAATATTATTATTGTACTTCTTCAGGCGATGGTAAGTAACCGCTAGATCAGGACCAATAATATTGCTGATTCTTCTTAGCATTTTTTCAAGAATCTCTAATTAGACGAATGTTAGACTCATAGATAGATTATGGAGAGAAACATTGGCTGATTTAGCAATAGATTCAGTATAGTATTTCCACTTTAAATTTGTCGAGAATATTAGCCCGAGAAGGCACAACGAGTCACACTTAGAATCACACATATTTTACATAGAAAAAGCTCTTCATAAATTCTGGGCTGTACTTGGGAGAACAATTTTTTTATATTTCTTTTAGGCATGGGCTATCAAAAATCCCTTCAATGAGTCTATCAAAATATTTTCCAATAAATCCGAGGGCTCCAGCTACAACTGGAATTATTGATGTCCTCATGTATCATATTTTTTAAAAAATTTCCACTTCAAGATCTTTATTTACATTATTCGGACTATTGTCCTCATCTTTGTCGTCATATTTATCACAACGTTTCGGCCGAATGGATGTCAGTTATCAGTTATCTCCTGTTAATTTCTTGCTGAAAGTTATCCACTGCTTTAACCGGGTATTGAACTCACACTCTTTGGGTCCTGTCACTGGATCTAACCAACGCCTTTATCCACTGTGCCATAGGACACTTGGCACAGTGGATAATTAAAGCAGTGGAGAAATTTCAACTGGAAAATTTCATGGAGATAACTGATAACCGACGTCCATCAAACATGGCACGTGGAACTAGAACAGTCTACCCCAGTGAACGAAATAAAGGGTTCAGTTCGAAATTCCAACCACCTGAAGAAGACCGAACAACGGCTTTTAACGTTGTGATAAATATGGCGACAAAGGGAGGACAATAGTCCGAATAACGTACATCATCTCAGGAATATAGACTTACTGAAAAACGTTGTAACGATATAACGGCAAAGATGATGACAATAGTCCGAATAATGTAAATAATGTACATAATACATCATCTCAGAAATATAGACTGATACTGAAAGGCATTTTCCGTTGTAACGAATATGGCGACAAAGATGAGGACAATAGTCCGAATAGTGTAAATAGTGTACATAATACATTATCTCAGAAATATAGACTGATACTGAAAGGCCGGAACGTTGTAACGAATATGGCGACAAAGAGGAGGACAATAATCCGAATAATGTAAATAGTGTACATAATACATTATCTCAGAAATATAGACTGATACTGAAAGGCCGGAACGTTGTAACGAATATGGCGACAAAGAAGAGGACAATAATCCGAATAATGTAAATAGTGTACATAATACATTATCTCAGAAATATAGACTGATACTGAAAGGCTGGAACGTTGTAACGAATATGGCGACAAAGAGGAGGACAATAATCCGAATAATGTAAATAATGTACATAATACCTCATCTCAGAAATATAGACAGACTTTCAAGATCTTTATATTTTGATAATTATTTTG